GACTTCTAGAGCTGTGGCACCCTGCTGACAGATGGACAGACAGGCGAGGGGACACTTCCCTGGTGGAAAGGGACATGGGATGGTGGTGCCCAAACCCTGCTTCCCTGGGGCTTTGGGGTGGAGAGGCATTGCTCTACCACCTCACCCCATGCACTGACATGTTATGTCTTTTCTTCTTTCTTTTTCTAAAATTTTATTTAGAAATTTTATAAGCTAATGTACATTACAGGGCTTAAGGCTACTTGAATCTTTATATGATCCAAAATCTTCCTAAACCAGATTTTTATTTTTATTTAATTATTTCTTTGTGTGAGATAATTGGTTCCTTTTAAGGCAGGAAAGGGGGAGAGGAGGCAGTGATATGGAGAGGATGCTGTACCTCTCCCTGGTGAGGGGTGGCTGGTGGAGCATCCCACTCCCCCTGGTGCTGCTCCTCTTCCCAGGCAGGGCCGGCAAACAGTTTCTGCTCCTGGGCTGAAATCCTGGCCCTTGGGGTGGTGGAAGGAGCAGCAATAAAAGTGCATTAAAAGGAAAAATAACTGTATGTGCTCTGGGTGAGTGTCTGCTCTGAAGGCTCACTGTGGCTGCCTGTCCAGCGAGCGTGGAGCAGGGATCCCTCAACCACAGCACACCTGGGGCAGGTCCCATTCCCCTGGGTGAGGAGGAGGATGGTGTTGCTCAGGGTCACCTGCCCTGACAGATGCTGCCTGGGGCTCCAGTGGATGCAGGGGATCCTTTGAGGAAGGACTGTGCTGCAGGAAGGGAGTGTCAGCCAGTGCTCCATGCTAGTGGCTTTTGGGAACAGTCTGGAGGCATTGCCACCACAGCTGGAGCAGACCCAGGGGTTTGCCCCTTGTCCCTGTCTGCAGGTTTAACACAGTGCCAGCTGTGCCCTTGCCTTTGCTTGCAGAGCCCTATGCACTTAACCCCAAGCAAGAGTTTTGCAGAGCTTAACCATGAGCAAGTGATGATGATGCTGTACTTGCAGCAAGATGAAGTCATGGGGTACTGGAAACGAACACAGGCTCTTTTCCAGGCACCTCAGGGTGTTTTCTCCCTCTTTGCAACATCCAGTCCCTTGAAAGGTGCTTTGACACTCAAATTCCCCATCTGGTTTATAAGCAGAAGGAGCTCCTGCCCTTCTTCTTTGGTCACTGGCCAGCCACCTCTGGCTGTGGCTATAAACCCCTAATCTCTGCCGTATCTCCTATCCTGAACATCTCACCTCAAAGCCTGGCATGGCTCTGCCCTGAGCTGCACAACGTAAAGCCATCTCAGGCTGAACATGGTACAAAACATTCAATTTTTACAGAGGCCTCTTATCTCAGAGCAATCCTGCCTTTTTATCACTGGGACATGAGCCATCCCTTCTACTTACCGTTAGGAATTGCTGCTGCTTGATTAAATTGAGGTGATGATGTATTTGCCTGAACATTAAACTTTAACTGACCTCTCCTTCTCCTTAAGTACTGTGCTTTTTCCTGCTATGAGGCCATGGTCAGCCCTGGCTCGGGCCTGGCTTGGTCCCTGGGGATGCAGGGTGATGGAGCAGGAGTGACCTGGGGGCACGACAGAGAGCTGCAATGGTGTGAGGCCTCTTGTGGCTTATGTGCATTGGAAGAAAATTGCAGCCCTGCAGCATCTGCTGGCCTCAGGCACAGGGGAGTGTGGCCAGCAGGAGCCTTGGAGCATCCCTGGAGCACCCATCTCCACTGCCTCAGCACCCAGGGGAGGAGAGACTTGCTGGTGGCTGCCCTTACCAGCCTTTCCCAGAGCCTCCTCTTAGCCCTCCCCACCAAATGCACCACTCTAGGGCCAATGAAGCAATCAATCACCATTTTTCTTTTTCCCTTAAGAAAAAAGGGATTTCCCCCTGCTCTGAACAATCCTCCCAGCTGCAGCTTCTCTGCGTGAAAACACCCAGATGCCTCTCTGTGCTCAGCTGCTAATTCCTGCATGGAGGCAAACGATTTGGAGAGGCAAATCTGAGACCCCCGGAGTGGCAAGGATCTGTGCTGGCTGTCTGCAGTGCCCATCACTGCCTTCCTGCCCAGGATGGTGCGGGGAACAAAGCCCCACCAAAGGACTATGACTGCCTTCCCTGGGCCTCTGCCACCCTGCAGTGGACAGGAATGCTAGAGGATGGAGCAGGGAAGCATCCCAAAAATGCCAAGAAGCTGTTGAAATGAAAAAGGCATGAGGACAGCTGGGGATTCACAGGCCAGCACTCCAGGTGGGATCTGAGTGCCTTCTCCAGTATGCTGCCATCATGAGTATGGTTTAAGGACCTGATTTTATAGATGCCTAAATAAACACATGGAATTAATATATCACAACACAAGGTGTAGTTATCTATTTTGCAGGAGGAGCGGGATGGAATTAGAAGGCAGTGCCTCTCTCCAGGCCATCCTCAGCTGTAATTCATGCCCCGAGGCGACTGGCCGAGGGGAGGAGGAGGAATTCTGTGGACAGCAGAATTGATGGGCTACTCCCAGAAGCTTTGTTTTAATTAATTTCCAAAGCTCTCCTTGCAGCCTAGCAGGCAGCTCTTTCAAAGCCTCCTCGCAGTCGCTGCTGCCGCTCATGCTGTGCCAGTGTGGGGTCTGGGACAGCTGGGGTGAGCCTGGGAGAGTCCCCAGACCTTTTGGTTAAAGAGTGCAGAATAAACCATGGGGGCTTCCCCCTGGCCAAGAGACCTCTTTGAAGATCACAGCGTGGGCAGGAGTATTTGTCAGGGCTTTTCTCTTCCCCTTTTTATTGACTTTCTGCTTGTTCCTGCTGCCAGGGGTCACTCGGGGCGTTGGCTGGACTTTGCCAAAAGTCCACCCAAACCAGCCTGTTACCAGGTGCTGACGCAGTGCCCTGCCCCTGAGATAGAAGGGCTTTGAGTCCTGCGTGTGCAGCTCGGTTGGGTGTGTGGTGCTGGGGCTGCGAAGGGGCTGTGCCAACTCCAAAACCTTCCCAAGGGATCAGACTTAGGAACCTGAACTACATTTGCCCTGTGTCCAGCAAGGTGACGGCAGTAACCACAGCTCGGCACAGAGTTTAGGGGTGGCTTGGCTGACATGAAGGAACCCATCCCTGTCCAGGAGGCCATCCTGACCGACATGGAGCCCTCCAACACCATCAAACTGCTGCACCTGCTTTTCCTCTCCACCTCCTGGGGAATGCAGATCTGGGTGACCTTCGTGGCTGGTAGGTTGGGGTCTGTGTGCGCTGCTGTGGTTCTGCTCAGATGGGAGGCCCAGGGGAGGGGGATTTGCCTCAGGACTTACCTGCTCTCCCCCCCTTGCAGGGTTTGTGATGAGCAGCCACCTCCCTCGCCACACCTTCGGCTTCATGCAGCGCGAGCTCTTCCCCTACTATTTCCACATCTGCTCCACTTGTGCCTTCCTCAACCTGACTCTGTTTGCCATGTACCACCCCAGCGAGCTGCTCAGTGACAAGCAGACGACCCAGGTAGCCTCCCCCTTCCAAACATGAGCTGGCCATAGCCCAAACCCCTTCCTCTGTGGGGTCCTGCCCCATTTTGCTCCACTGAAGTTGGTTTGCAAATGATGACAAGATCCACATATGGCTCTGGTTAAAAGAATCCAGTTAGCATCCAGATCACAGCGAGCCTTGTGTGCAAGAGGGGCTGGGGCAGAAATTTAACCCACCTCACGTGAGAGATGTTCATGGCGGGCTTTGCTCCCCTGCAGATCATTATCTTCTTCATTTGCATCGCTGCTTCTGTGCTGAACACACAGTGGTTTGGGCAGATCACCTCTGACGTCGTGGCAGAGATGTACGTCGTGGAGCGCAACCACGGCCTCGGCCAGGAGGTTGGGCTGGTTGCCAGTGAGTCCCGCAGGCACCTGCGTGCCTCCAACCCCAGCTACAGGCAGCTGTTCCAGCAGTTCACCCTCTACCATGCTCTGTCCTCGTTCTGCAACCTCTGCTGCATTGTGTGCAATGGCCTCAGCCTGTACCACCTGGCTACCCACCTCTCTGCCCTGTGAGGGCAGGACACCGCGAGGCGAAGGCTGGTGGGCCAGAACCAACACCCTGGGGAACGGGAGCCATCCTGCTGTCTTGCTGTAAAGTAAGCCTGAGCTTTGGAGATTAAATTGCAGCATCCTCAGGTGGAGACATTCTTACTGTATTTGTGCATGGTGAAAAAATCTAGGAATAGTGAATTGGAAATGCTTTCTCTGGAGCTGTCTTAAGTCAGCCTCCATGATCTAAGCAGGAGTGTCCATGGCTTAACAGTTTTCTAATGCCCCATGCACTAGCTGTGTCTGAAGCTGCAATGTATTTCTGCAGTCACAGAGAGACTGCAGAAGAGGAAGAAGTGAGAGATTTAGAATTACTTTTAATTAAAAGCCAAAAGCTAATAGGGGAGCGCAGAAGATCCTATATGGTGGCTGTACCAGTTAGTGTAATGGATAAGGTTGTTATGTTGGCGTTTACAATTACTGTTTGTCATTCTCCTGTAGTATTTCTTGAGGTGAGTAAAAAATATTGTCTCATTTATCAGGCAGAAGTCAGACTAGTTAAAATAGCCCTGTTTATTCCAGGTAATCAGTAAGGTAGCAAAAGGGTCAGGAAAACACTGCTCCAAACAGAGCTCTGCTGTATCCTGGCCAGCAGCAGAGCCAAGCAGTGACAAAACAGCAGCTGCTTAGTCTCAGGAACCTGATTGCATCCACCCTGCTGCAATAGACAGGTATCTCCCCAGCCCACTGCTGTTAAACCCCAGCAACTACAGCCCACCTCTGAGCAAATCTGTGATTCTTCACAGGTAAGGAAGTACATTCCCAGCTGCTGTTGCTGCAGTCACAGCCAGTGTTTGGCACTGCTTCAGGTTTATTTCAAAACCACATGCAGCCTATCATAGAGGAGACCTTCTGCAAGCCAGCTGGGTTTCTCTTTAAACAAATAACCCCCTCATGTCAGCCCTTCCTTCTCCTAAGCTGCTTTCCTGGAAATGTCCCCCTGTGCCAAAATTATGGGTCTCCCCTGAAGCGTGCAAGGTCCAAGCAGGAGTTTGCAGCCTGTAGCTGGGCTAAAAAACAAACAGCAGCCTCTTGCATAGGATTCTTCATTTCATTCTTGCTCATTATAGTCGATGCACTTTCTTCCCAGAGAAGTACTTTTTGGAGAAAGGAGAATGCTTCACAAATACCAAAACTGTCGGAGTCCCAGCCTTTACAAAGTATCTGCAAAGATTAAAAAGAGTCCTTGGCTTCCTTGAACTGGCCAAGTGTCCTAAAAAACAAGTGTGTTCCCCCCAGCTCCATAAAGACTGACCTCCCAAAGGCCAGTGAGGAGCTTTTGTGCTGATCAGCTGAGCCTCTTGAAGCCAGGGCCAGGCACATCCGAGGAGGAGTGTTCTATGGATCAGCTCGTCTCCCAACAGCTACTTTTAATTAAAGCAGCTGTTATTCTCCCTCTGGAAGGAGGTTTCTGTTTGCAACTGCCCTCACAGCCTGAAATCTGAGGGCTTGTGCACACTGCTGAGTTTTATGGAGTGCCAGCCTGGCCACAGCCTGCGGCAGCGACCAGATCTCTGCTCCCACTGCGACAGAGCGAGCCCCCCAGGGCTGTGCAGCAGCTCTCCTCCAGCTAGCTATGAGATGGTGCAACTTAACAGCATGGGCTTTACAATAACTTCTTGGCTTCCCAAACAGCAAATTCTTCTCTCTCAATAACTGCACAACACTTTAAAGGCAGTTTCAGAGGGAAACAGTGCTGCATGCTGTGCCAGGGGCTGCTCACACAGCATTATGAACAGTGAGAGCATTGTTAACCTTCAACACGCTCTTTATGGGCTGCTGCCTTGTTTTTTTTTTTCAAAAGTAGTACTGTGTAGAAGGGATCTGGAACAGCCTTTTTGTGCTGCTGCTCCCCCTCCCATCTCCATCCAGTCCTGGAAAGAGTTGTTGATACTTTTTCGGGGAAAATATATGTAAGTTGCTAAAGCCAGGCACAAAATCCATCCAGTCCCAGTGCTTTACACCTTCAAGGGCTAGGACTATTAAATCAGAGAAGAGTTAGGACTATTAAAGAACAGACTGGACTTAAAAGCCCAAAGCTCATACTTTTTTGCCTTTTTTTTTCCTCTGGACACTGACAGGTACAGCCTCACCTTTTGTGCTGCAGCACTTGTAGCAATGTGTGTTCTGGGTTCACCTCATACATTTCTGCTCTTTCCTCATCTTCAAAATAGAGCTGAAAAAAAATTTGGAGTGTTATTGAATGGCTAAGGTACATGGAGGAAAATACTAGGCTGTTGAAAGCCCAGTAACAGCCCACCATTATCAACTAGAGGTTTATCAAACCTCTCTAGCTTGACCTGACTGTGTGGGGTGCTGAATTCAGCGATGCAGAAACTGATTTGTGTGAATTCCAAGTCTTCCCTGTATAGACCAGCTTAGCTTCTCATGGCAGTGGCAGCAGGAAGGCAAAATACACTGGCTGTTCCTGTGCTTTAGAGGAGCAATCCAAATCTAAGGGCTGCTTTTTAAGGGGTGAAATGCTGCAGTGGTATGAGATGAACTGAGTAGGTTTAGAGGTAGCTGAACAAAATAAAGCTGATTTAAGAGATTCAAATCCAGGTATGGTGACTTGGACTGTACATACACCCAGATTTTAATCTGGTGAAGTACACAGCCACTGTCCCTTTGGACCTGCCTGCTCACTGTACCAAGGGTTGTGCTGCTGCCTGGCACAGGTGGCACTGAAGTGGGAAATGAAAATAAACATCTGTCTCCTTCTATGTGCAGTCTTGGAAAAATTCTCAAAACTTGCTGCAGCCACAACCAACTTACAACCCACATTTGCTAAAGTGTTAATAGACCTAGATCATCTTGATGGGATTGTGTTCTTAAGTACCTCCACTTACTTTTGAAAATAAAGTGTTTTTTAACAATATTTTCTCATTTGTATTGAGCAACTCCCCAATGCAATTAAAAACCAGAAAGTCTATGAGCTCCGTGGTCTAAACCTTAATTATCATTACAAAGATTGGATCTAAGCAGTATCAATACCTTCTATTAAATACAATGTAAGTGGAAGACAAAAGAACTTTCATTTACATTACTGAATTCTGTCTGCACATCTGGAAAACCTTTGAGTTTGTAAGTGAATGTAGCTCTCCAGATCCTTATTCCACATCTGTGTATGGTAAACAGGTAACGATGCCAACTCTTTCATACCCTCAAAGCTGTGTTGTTTCCCATTACAGAAGAAAAACAAACCCACAACACAACCATCCTGAAACTGAAGGAAAGTCAGATTTCTCACCTCAAGATTGCTGGGAAGGTATTTTCTTTCTAAATCCCAAGGAGGTAACTCAGCAAACATCACCATTAAATGATCAATAAACCTAAAAGCCAAAATACACTTGGTGAGCTTAGACAAAGTGTTCAGCTTCAATAATTTGTACACTTGCACTTGAATGATGGTTAAAATACCTTAGCAAATTAGACAACAGACTTGCAGTAAGTTTAGGTCATTAATAGTTTCTTCCCTTCAAACTCATCACTTTCCAAGGCCCTGGTGTAGCTCAGGCTATTGGTTTCAAGCTTGAGCAGAGCAACAACAAATTATTTTTAACTTTACATTTCCGCACTGAAAAAGATGTCAAAATAAACTCCCTGCATTCTGTCTAAAATGGATTTTCCTTTCACAGGGTCCCATTGCTTCTCCAGATCAGAGTGATGACAACATGTTTGTGTGTCAGAGGCTTGTTTATTTTGGTACCTGAAGAGTGCTGGAGGCCAATTTGTTCTGTAAATCCATTTTAACTTCCTTTGATCAGGAAAAGGCACTGTGAATCCTGCTATATAAGTACCACAACTTTACTAACCTGCTTGCACTGTAGTTTTAAATCCTAAACTCATTAATAGAGCTGAGGAATACATCTTCCAACAAACAAAAAGTTAAAAATTCCAAGTTTGTTCAACATTACAAGATCAGAAACTGAAGTTAACATCGAGAAAAGTGGAATTCCCACCTTGCCAGTCACTTGCTTAGAGTCTGAAAGGTCTGCAGCATATCAGGCCTGCTGAAAGCCCCAGTGAAAACTCTGAGGTCACTGGTGGTTATGAGAGGTCTCTTTTGGATGCTTTTTATAATTTTTAAGCTTAATCTTTTTTCTGAGACCTGAAACAGTTTCTGAGGCTGAATGAACCTCTAAAATCCACACACGAGGATGGGTCACAGGTATTACTGGCCACCAATTAATTACTGGTCTAAGCTCGCACTGCAAGTCCCTTTAATCACCTTGGCTAAATATGTTTCTCTGTGCTATGAATTTATTTAAATCACAGAATAATTGAGGTTGCAGAGGGCCTCAGGCGGTCATCTAGTGCAACCTCCTGCTCAAAAGCAGGGTCAGCTCTGTGATTAGAAACCTGGAAACACTTCATCAGCACAGCAGTGTTTCACTTGCTGTCTGCTCTCATCTGCTCAAACACCTCCTTTGAGCAAGAGTTCTGCTGGCAGTGCATTTACCTGGAGTTCTCATGAAAAGCCACAGTGAAGTCTGTCTGCTCATGCTCAGGGTACAGGAAGAGGACAGGCCAGTTCAGGTTGCCATCAGCATCTAAGTGCACCTTTGCCCCCGTGGCATTGTCAGAGTGGAACCCATCTAAGGATATCTCAGCCAGGCCATCTGATATTTCCTCTTCTTCATTTGAAGGCTCAAGAACCAGCTTGATATTTCTTTCCTGGAGGGGAGGGAGGGGAAAATACCCCCAAGCTCAGACAAAAACCCAACAGGTATGGTGGGAAGAATAAGAGCAAAAACTTAGCAGTCAGTATAACACCCAATTGTGTTGCTCTTATTATGTCAGCTCTTAAACATGCCATGAAAAGCTTGCCCACAGCATCAGACTAACATGACTTGTCTTCCCAGCAGAATCCAGAACCTCAGCCTGACACCCAGACTCCTCAGGAAATGGATGAGGAGAGGTGGGAATCCAGAGGAGCCCACACCTTGCAGGCATTACTTCAGGGTGCAACTACACACACCAGCTCCCAAGAATATCCACTCTTTCAGAGAACTGAAGAAAGCTTAGCCTTTTGTTTGGAAAGACAACTACAGAGGAGATCTGACTGTATGTAATAGCCCAACATATTTTAATGTAGCCCAAACTTTTGTTGAGGAAGGAGAGCATCCAGGATTGATTACCTCCTGTACCCTATTGAATGGTTATCTTCTGTCCTTCACTGAAGTAATGCCCATAGGCAGCCAAAAAAGTAAAGTTTGCTGGGCCAGCATGATGCTACAGCCCAGCAGCCAGAGTGCTCACAAAGCTCAGTCCATCTCCTCACACTCTGTTTGTATTGTGCATTAGTTGTTACCTGAAATATGGAAACCTGGGAGCTGGGGCTAGAGCCATGCAGACAAGGAGAATCATGGTTTTAACTCACTTTTTTTGGCTCTAGCCCCTTAAAGACAAAGAAGACAGATCAAAAAAACCAAAACAACAAAACTAAGCACAGTGACCCAACCCCTCTCCCCGACCCACCTTTATTGCTGCAAGCAAAATTTCCTTTTGACACTGCTCCCTCCTCTCCATCACCTTTGCTTTCCTTGCATCCCGCTCCTCAGCTCGCTGTAAGGAAAGGTGGCACCATGGTCACACACAAGAAGTCAATGCCCATCACTACTCTTCCCTGACAATGAGTGAAGAAATCAGTTTGGATCCCCAGAAGGGTCCCCTCCAGTTCCTTCCCTTCACAGCTCAACACACACTGCATGGATCCACCACTCAGTTCTGTCTGGGGACATTACACTACACAGAAACTTGTACAAACTTCCACCAAGGATCCCCAAGTGCTTATTGACACAAAGCAGGTGACAAGCATTGCAGATCCCAAATTGCCTTAATACTTACCTTTAATTTGTCAGCTTTAGTTCTCAATTCCACAAGCTTTTTCTCTTTTGAATCTATTTGCAAGCCTTCCTCACACCATGCTATTGCTTCTGAGAAATTCTTCAGCTCCATGTGGCAGAGAGCTCCTGGAAGGATTAAGATTTGAAGTTTGGAGTCACTGCACAACTACTACACAAAGTGGTGGTTATAAAGACAGTGTTAAGCCCAGTGCTTTTGCATTAGACTTTTTTGTCTTGTGTGGTCATGCTCCATCAGCAGGTCAGCTGAGAAGAAAGTCTAAAATATTGTGCAGTTCTTGTGTCATTTGCTCAGCTAGTCACAGAAATCACAGCATAATTGTGCTAGAAGTGTCTATTACAAGCAAAATGTTATAATTATAATTAACATTTCAGTATTTGTCTTATAAGGAAAAATAAAAGGGAGTTTCCATGGAGGGAGAAATGCTGGGGGAAAAAAACCCAAACAAACCCCAAAAACTAGCGTTGTGGAAAACAAGAAAAGTTATGCTGTGCTCTACAGAAACAGGTCCAGAGCTTCTGACAGCTATAGAAGCTGAAGAACAAAAAGATAGTGTTTTGACTGAAAATTCAAAGCAAAACCCAGAGCTATGTTTTGGGGTGAAACAACAATAACAAGACATCTCTTGCAGTAATTGCTTTACCTTTCTGAAATGTTTTCTGTCCAGAAACAAAGTATGATGCCCACTCACAGTCAATTAAGGTTTAAAAATTAAACACACAGAAACA